GAGAGAGAGAGAGAACTTTTGGTGCACTTTTCAAACACTTTTCTAAACTATGTGACGAGGTGCACGCAGTTTTAGTTTTCTTCCCAGAATAAAGAGAAGCGGCTTGCTTTAATCTCATTCTATCTGATGGAATTCCTTCGTGTATTTATTGCACTGCTTCTAAATATAAGCGTGGCAGGCTCTGCGCCGCCTGTGGTCACGTAGGGGTTTTTGGAAACAGTTTTAACTTGGGGCATACCCTGAACGTGGGCAGCGCCCACACATGTCATCTCAACCCCCTGTCACCTTTTTGGGAAGTCCTTGTACCCTCGTGAGGAGATTTTTTTCTGCTTCATTTTAGCCTCCTCAGTTCAATGGGGGTTTCCTTACATCCCCAGCCCCCGTTTAATCCATACTCTTTAATAGAGTCAATCTTATGTTGAAAATGCATGATCTAGAACATCAGTCCTTGTACTTTTTCTCTCACTAAAAAAGTTGTTTCTAATATCTATGTCTGGGCCATGTCACAGAAGTCCAGTGTTAATTTGTCTCGGATTTCACCCACACATGAATACACTCATGTGGCCTCTTCTGTATATTATGGTAGGTCGTCAAAATGGCTCCTCCAAAGGAAAATGAGACAGAAAGGAAAGGGAGTCAGATGGGTGAAAGGAGGGCCATGAAGCACGAACGAGTCTCTCCTCTTTCGTGGCGACATGGTTTTCAAATAGGACACATCCTGCCACTGTATGAAAATGAGATGGTGTGCGGTATGACCATCTCCACGGAGCGGTCTGCTTGATAAGTGCTAGGTGTCTCTACAGGGTGCAGCACACGGGGCATTCCCTCTCAGTTTCCTTCACAGAAAGGAAAGGGAAGGGAAGGGGCACGGCGAAGATGGGGGAGGCAGAGGCGAAAATACAAAGGGAAGAACGTGAGGAAGAAGACGAGGTGAGAGACGGACAGGCACCTGGAGGGAAGGCCAATGACTTGCTGCGGAGGAGACACCCCAAGAATGGCCCGCAAGGGTGCCTTCCACCCAGAAGGGAACACTCAACAGCAAAGAAAGAGGTTCAGGAAAAGAAAAAAGAAAGGACAGGAAAAAGAGGGTCACAGGGAACAACACCCCGGCTTTCCCCAGACAGAAAGGTGAGACAAGAATGCCGCGCTAAACCTGAGTTTTCACACTACTTCATTTTGTTTTTTGTTTTTTTTTTGTTTCGTCGTTGTTGTCTTGTTTTGTTTTTGTTATTTCGAGACTGGGTTTCTCTGTGTAGCTTTGGAGTCTGTCCTGGCACTCGCACTGTAGACCAGCATGGCCTCGAACTCACAGAGCTCCACCTGCCTCTGCTTCCCAAGTACTGGAATTAAAGGTGTGCACCACCACCGCCTGTCTAAACGTCCCTACTCTTACATGCAAAAGGGTCTCAGAGACAGAGTTACGCAATCAACAACCCTCCAGGGAGACTGGTAATATGGAGGGTGACTTTCCCCACAGACCTACTTGTCTCTCCACCCAATTCCTCCCTTGACTCTGCAAGTTTGTCTACACATTCTCAAATTAAAAATGAGCACCACTACTTCTTGCCTTTCATGTATAAATTAGCATATTTTATATATCTCTCATAGAATTTCGCCTGCCATAATTCCACTTTTAATAGGGAAGGTGTATATTTAGGAGCAAAATCAAGAGCAGAACTCTTGCTGCTATCAGTTGGCAGCTTTCTTTTCCTTTTCTCTTGCGTGTGTGGTGTTTTATTTGTTTGTTTTGTCTGTTTGTATGTCTGTGGATCAGGTGCAAGCCTGGTGCCCAATGAGACCAGAAGAAGACACTCGTGCCCCTAAGGCTGGAGTTACAGCCGGTTATGGGATGCAGCTTAAGCACCAAAATTCAAACCTAGGTCCTCTAGAAAAGCAGCCAGTGCTTTTAACTACTGAACCATCTCCCTAGGCACAAACTGACAGCTTTCTTAATTTAAATCTACAACCTGAAATGAAGATACTTTATTGGGGTAAACAGAAAAAAAAAACTTACTAAGGTATTGTTCCCAGGGTAGTCTGGAGCCAGGCACTTCCGAGTCCTTTGGGTGGCTCTAAACCCCAGCCCATTTCTGCTGTGCCAACCTCAAGGTGGTTTTGTTCTTGTACTTTTGTTTCGTGGTTGGGAGACTTTGTCCTTAATTCAGCATCTCAGCCAGGAATCGAGGGCAAGGGAAAGTTCCCACCCTTTCAGACTAACTTTCCCAAAAGTTCCCAGTGTAAATCTGCTTCATGCTACGCCAACAGAAATGAGTCTGGTCTCCTGTCTCGGGTAGAGGGAAGGGTAGGAAAGGGCCTCCCTGTTCACCCAGCCCGATGGAAAGAGGACAGAGAGAGGGGCTGAGGGTGACAATGGAAGCCTATGGCTAAGCCCTCTTTGCTTTGCTGTTTCTTGGTATCTTCAGGCATAATTTCCAAAGTGCATCGCTTTGATAGGAACAAAACCTGAGGAATTTCCACCCACTAAAATAAGGTCAGTACATTCATAGCTCTAAAAATAATTTTCTTATAATTACAGTAGTTCTTATAACTGTAGTTACAGTCCAGGCTGTCACTACCCTGACAGGGATGGAGATACTCTCAAGAGACCATTGTGCCCCTCCCTTTGGCTATCGGCCTATTGAGACATTGGACCTTTATTCCCGAATTTCCGTCTCCCCAGCGATCCCATATTGACAGAAGGAAAAAGCTGAAGCCGTGAGCCAGCCAGCAGGGCTGTGGCTCTAAGCTGTGGCTCACAACTGTCTGTAACTGTCATGTCCCAGAGATTTTCCACAGTTCTGACAACGTGCCAGGCCACCTTGCAGGAGGAATGGAGTTGGGACAATGACAAGGGCTGCTAACACACCTTAATAAGAACTGCACATACCCCTTGGCTTTTTTTTAAACGCCTTTAGTCCCAGCACTCAGGAGGCAGAGGCAGGCAGAGCTCTGAAGTCAAGGCCAGCCTGGTTTACTGAGGGCAGTGAGGGCTACACGGAGCAACGCTGTCTCAGACAAAAAAAGAAAAAAAAAAAAGACATGATTTCAAATATCCACTAGTTTCAGCTTCTCCTGCAGGAGCTGTGAGCAGGTTACATGAATACTGTTTATTCCATCCACCAGATCAATTTCTGCAACTTCTTTAATGGCCCCCTTCATCATCTTATTCCTTTTAGCAGCCGGGAGTTTTCCACTGTCGTTTGATTTTTCTGCAAGTAACACAAGTTTGTTTGTTGATTGGTTTTCTGGTCTCTTGTTCAGTGTGTTCTTCTTTTTCTTTCTTTCTTCCTTTTCTTCTTTTCTTTTCTTTTTTTTTTTTTTTTTTTGGCTTTTCAAGACAGTGTTTCCCTGCTCCTGGAACTCACTCTGTAGGCCAGACTGGTCTCAAATTCACAGAGATCTGCTTGCCTCTGCCTCCCAAGTGCTGGGATTAAAGGTGTGTGCCAGCAAACCCCACTTGTTTGTTCATTCTTAAGGAGTGACCCTTATGCTTGCTCATGCTTAGTGTACACTAGAAAGTACAATAAACTGACTGGCTTGTGACCCCCCCCCCCCACTATACCCCGGGGGATTCCAAGCCTTTCCATTATCTAGGTATTTATAACTTGGACTCCACCGTGTGAATTCTATAGTGAAAGTACATTGTGTTTACATCAAATTCCCCTTGTGTCTGATCCAGCGTCCAGAGTAAGTGGAGACTTCTTCTGAATGTTGGGAACATGGCGACTGGTGGAAGCTAAGGGGAAAGGACCTGAGCTGCATAGTCTAGCTGGGTCACTCTTAGCGTGGTGCAGGAAACATCCTCCACCTTTGTAGAGCTTGCTTCAGCCCACCTCGCTACCTCCCCTGGCTTTCTTCAGAAAGCAACAGCCCTCCCACTGAGTCAAGCGCAGGAATAAGTGGCTTTGGAATGTGAAGAAAAGTGAGGATTGATGGCTGAAGCTGCTTTTGGCACCTTCACCACACATGTGTTCTGGGGAAACACCTTCCTGCTACTGAACGGTCCCCCACCCCCACCTCCACTCCCCACCCCCCCCACTCCCGCCGCCCCCTGGCTGGAGGACTGGCATGGAAGATGGGAGGGGGGAACAAGGAAGCAGAGCCAAATTGTCTCCATCCTGCCCTTCTTCCCTAGTGGCAGCCAGTTCTCATTTGAATTCATTTCCTCTTTAGAGAATCTTTTTGGGCAGGCCTTGAGGGCACAGGATCAAATATGTCAAGCTTCCTTTCTTGTCAGTCTGCCACAACCTACCAACATCCAGACTCTTTGAAATCCACCCGAAACATATCCAAAAACTCTTGTGTTTCTTAGGATAACTAGAAGTTTTACCTCACCAGGGAAGACGTGTTAACTTCAACAACGTCATGATTGACCCGCAGAGCATCACCGGAGTCCTGATGATTGCCCCGACTTCCACTCCTTTCTTAGCAGGAGTTGGAAGGTAAGCAGCTTCCTGAGAGCCATACTATGCATCCTGAGATTTTTAAGAAAACTTCTGCTTTGCAACAACACCCCCTTTCATTTCTTCCCCACCCTCCCCTCCCATTTGCTATATGCAAGTGTTGGTTTCACACTGAATTTAAAATGGTCCAGTCAAGACTTCCCTGGTTCAATAAAAGGTCACTTGTATTCTAATAACTCAGTAACACTGGGGACTGCTGATGTTGTGAACACTGAGTATTATGAACTGCCTGAGAAAATGTGAAAATGTCTGAGCGCTTCAGTGGAAATGATTGCGAACACATTTTTTGGAACGTCTCCTAATGAGTATTGAGGATGCCCATGCACAAACGGAAAACCATCTGTGGTGTATAACATAGTAGTCCAGTGCCTATTCTCTCATCCCTGCTCCTTTCTCCCCATCTCTCTCCTTCTTTTCTTGCACAGGATCTCATGTAGCCCAGGCTAGCCTCAAACTCACTGTGTAGCTGAGGATGGCCTTGGATTTCTAATTCTTTGCTTTCACCTCCTGAGCATGAGGATTACAAACCTGCATTGCCAGGGCTGTGGTATGTGATGTTGGGAATGAAGCCCAGGGTTTCTATCTGGGTAGATAATCATTCAACCTGTTGAGATGTAGCTCCAACTCCTTTCCTTTGTTCTTAGTTTGTTCCCTGGTACCATGTAAGTCGGGCTTAGAGATTCACTGGATTAAGTGACTACTAAATCAACATGCTAGGGTTTGAGAAAGGTTAATGGAAGTTCCTCTTTTTGTAAAGCAACACTGCCCATCTTATTAACAAAGCCTCTTCACTTGAGTCTCTGTGACAATTCTAGTGGTCTCTGAATTTATATAACACTGAGAAAATATGCTGATAACCATCAAAGGACAGAATTGGGGACCTCTTCAAGGGACGGGGCTAAGCAAGCATTTGCTGGTAGTTTTATACACAGGAAGAAGTTGGGCAAGAGATAACACAAAGGCAGAAGGGCTCTTATAGATTAGAGGTCCATAAGAGAGACATTTGTTAAAATATATTTTATTATTTAATTATAAATTGTAAAACAGTATGCATGCAATGCATTTTAATCATGTCTGCCCTCATCCCTCCTTCAATTCATTGCAGACATGTGCCTTACTCCAACTCCTTCTCAACTTTGTAACCTTTAAAAATATGATCCACTGATTCCAATTCGTTCTGCTCATATATTTATGGGTGTGGGGCTCTCCGCTCAGGCACGGTCAACCTACTCTGGGCCACACCCTTCAAGAAAACTGACTCTCCCTCCCCAAGAAACCACCAACTGTTGATAACCTTTTGGCCAGGGGTTGGGGTTCGTGAGCCCCTCCCAACTCCATGTTAAAATGTTGACTGGCTTGATCTTGTGTTAGGTAACCACTGCTGCTGAGTTCATGGGTATAGGGATTTTGTCATGTCTGGAAGATTCTGCTTGGCCCCGGTCCTTTCTGACCTCTGGTTCTTTTGATCCTTCCTCTCCCATGCCACCTGGAACTTACTACATAGACCAAGTTGACCTCGAACTCGGAGATCCACCTGCTTCTGTCTTCCTAACTCTGGGACTTAAAGGGATGTACCACCACACACCAGTGACATTCAGCACTTTCGCCCATCCACCATTCTCTTGAAAGCCTCTACACTGAAAATACGAAATAGTTAAAGGTAGCCTATAATATGACCTTAGCCATCTATGTATAAAGGGAAGTCTGAGGCACACGGGGGGGGGGGGGACTTTGATCTCTTTCTCAATAGAGGAAATAGACTTAACAGGGGCCATCTCTTCATGTTCTTTCCACCCGGTGAGTAGATTGTGAGGACTGTCCTAGCTGTCCTTCCATCGCCAGTCCGCCAGGATGGAAAGAAAGGCAGTCTTCTGAGAATTATGGACATCAAAGCAAGGAAGGACATAGGTGTGTTTTACTTGGCTGCTGGGTAGAACTCCTTACCTCCACGCTCTTGCAAGTGTCCTAATTTGATATCTCTTTGTTTTGGGGCAGTGCCGCCCGTGTTCCTGACATTTTCTAGGATCGCGGCTCATCTTTCTGAGCTCCCTTTAGCTTGCGTAAATGCAGATGTGGCAACTTACTGCATCAGTCGGGTCTTCTGTTTTTCATAGATGGCCATGACAGTTACATCCATAAATACACACACACACACACACACACACACACACACACACACACACACACACGGGGTCTGGGGGGAGAGAAAGGGAGACAGAGGGTAGTGAGGAATAAATGCAATCAGAATAGATTATGACCCCCTTTCTTCCCACATAGTCCTCCAGAAGCTACATCATTAAAGAAAAGGATATCCCTCCTTAAGCCATCATTAACAGAGTCAATATAGCTCCTGGATCTTCATGGACTATTCCCCTATAGACCTCTGACTTAATATGTATGTTGTTCCGAAATGACCATGGGGTTTACTTAATGTATTTCTATTTTAGAGAAGGAGTCGTGCTACATTGTCCAAGTTAACTCCAAACTCCTAAAGCCCAAGAGATCCCGCTGTCAGCCTCCCAGGGAACTTGGGCTGCGGCTTGTCACTGAGTCCAGCAACACAAACTTTAAAAAAGAAGAAAATGAAGTACAAAACCAGTCTTCACGTTGTCTTTCCTTCAACTCAAAAGCAAAACTCATCAAATAGATTCAGGGTTTTAAGAAAGACTATAGGTTTCAGAATAAGACCCATAACACAACTAAATTCAAATTTTAACTTTGTCACTCAGGATAAAGTTACACACACAATACTTTCCATTTCTAAGCCTCTCATTCTTCAAGAGAAAAAGTCGATGTATGTAAAAGAATTTCTAGGGATTAAAAATAATGTTCATTGTTAAAACACTAGCCTGCATCTTTAGGCCAGATCTCACAGCCTGAAAGAAATGGGCCACACATCCCTGCCGCTCTGTCTAGGACAGAGGGATGTGACTTGACAGCCCTCCACCTATGTATGGTCCTTGCCTCTTTTATTTGGTTTTTTGTCAGGCCCATCGTGTGAAACTCAATCACAGAATATGAAACTTTGAACCCTACCGAACCCGAATTTATAAAAGCCTTAGTAAAGGGAAGAAATCTAAAGGTTAGGCTTTTGCTTGTTTGTTTGTTTGTCTATTGTCCTGGAACTCATGTTATAGACCCTGCTGGTTGTGAATTTACACAGAGATCCGCCTGCCTTTGCTTCTCCAGTGCCGAATTAAAAGTGTGCGCCAGCGATGCCCAGCTAAGGTTGCTTCTGAGGAGGCTTCTCTGGCCTCTCCCATTCCTGTCATGTTCCCCCTCCCTCTATTTTAGTGAATTTTCTTAATGAAGTTTCTCTCCAGGTTTTAGTGGAAGCCTAGGGACACACCATGTTTAGATCATTTCCGTATAACATAGTATTTCTGCCTAAATCTCTCCCTCCCATTTTGAGACATCATCACCTCTAGGTTCTTTCCCCTAATAAACTGCACTTCTTCTGAAGAGAATTGTATGTCAGCTTCTTTTCTGGAGTGGTTGATATTGTCTTATTATTACTTCTATTATCACATTTAGCATCAGCGACATGTGGTGTGAAGGTAGAGACAGAGCCTACACTTGTCAAAAGACAGATCATAGACCTAAACATGAATCACAAAACTGCTAAAATCCTGCAGGAAAACATAAGAGGAAAACGTCCCAGAGAACTTCAGTTTGGCAATGGTATGATGTAACAGAAATAGTGCGATCCTTCAGAGAAAATGTTAACAAGTTGGGCATTGTTAAATAAAAACTGTTACTCTCTAAAAAAAAAAAAATACTGTGACCAAAAGAAAAAGAAAATCTACAGGTGGGGAAAAGGAGACACTTCTCCAATAAAAGATTTCTGTCACAGATGCTCAAAGAACACAAGACTATACAATAAGAAAAGTGTCAAACCAGGTGTGGTGGTTTCCATCTGCGCTCTTAGGGGCTCAGGGGCTTGAGGCTAGAGGACCCAGCGATATAACAGCCACAGTCTGTCTTTTACAAAACCGACCAATTATTTAATGAGCTACTTAAAACTAAAAGGAGCCAAAGATCTAGACACTTCACCCGAGACTAGGAAGCTGACAGATGGGAATGTGAACAGCATTCAGATTGGGGCTGGAGAGGTGGCTTTGTGGTTAAAAGCACTTTTGAAGAGGACCTGAGCTCAGTTTCTAGTCCCCAGTCCCCAGTCAGGTGACTCACAACCACCTGTAACTCCACTCCAGGGGATTTGACACCTCTACAGGTACCTACACTCCCTGTTATCTCTCTCTCTCCCTCCCTCTCTCTCTCTCTCTCTCTCTCACACACACACACACACTTTTAAAATTACAAATAAATATTAAAAATTATCAAATTTTATGCCTTCACAAAATGGCAAAGTAAAAAAAAAAACATTGACATCTACTTGACACCCACTAAAGCAACACAGCATTGGAGAGAATGAGAGAATGTGAAGCTACGGGTGGGCGTGTTCATTCACTGCTGATAAGATAAGAAGGCAAACAGCACAAAAGTTCTCCAGAAGGCCGTGGGGCAGCCACTAGCAGAACTGAACAGACTCTTCTCATCAAGTCAACCATCACACTCTTGCGCTTTCTCCAAATGACCTGTGCACTGGTATCGGCCCACAAGTCTGCACACAATCTTTAGCGTAGTTTCCTTCACAGTCGCCAAAACTTAGAGGCAAGCAAAGTGTCCTTCTACAGACGAACAACTAAACAGATTGCAGCCTGCGCCTATTCTAGAGTTGGCGATAAAAGCAGAGAAATCTCAAGACAAGTGATTGTGATGGAAGGAGCTTAGAAGCATACTGTCTTGTCAAAGAAGCCAACTTGAACAGCTTTTGTGTGTGAGAAAGAGATAAAACTATGGAGAGGCTCACAAGATACCAAGGATGGAGGGAGAAGGAAGAATGAGAATGGGTGTAGCAAAATACAGGATTTAGAGGATAGTGAAGCTATTGTTTGAGGTTCTGTAATGATGGACACCCATAGAATTAAAGAACACAAACACTGAACTCTAATGTAAACTGTGGACTTGGAAATAATGTATTACTGCTTCCTTCTCTGGTGTAGCAGGGTGTCCCACTGGTGTCAGAAGCTCGTAATGGCAGATCTGGGGGTGGAAGAGGAACTTGAGAGCTTTCTACTTTTCACTCAGATCTTCTTGTAATTGTAAGAGGTTTCAAAGCTTAAAGTCTGCTGATTGAAAAGAGAATGTGCTGCGTCAAGTACATGGAACAGGAAGAACAGTAAATAATCACTATTACTTGCTGTCTCCCTGGGGAGTATGTCCATCCCACAATAACTTCTGTAGCCAGCTAAGGGTACCCAGCATATCTGTGTTTCTCATCCTCTACATTATTGACCTTTGAGGACAGTTGTGTGCTGTGGTTTTCCCTGGGCATTGGATGATGAGCAGCATCTCTGATCTCTCACTGGAAGAGGTCAGAAGCATCCCTGACCCTAGCTGACCTCTAATTACCCCCAACTCCATTCTTAACAACCAAAACTGTTTCCAGACTTTGGCAAATGCCCTTGGGAAGACTGAGAGTGTTCTCAGTGGAGGATCACTAAACAGTGATGTATGCTGTGAATGTGGTTTATTACCATTGGTTAATAAAGAAACTGCTTTGGCCTATGGCAGGGCAGAACAGAGCTAGGCAGAAAAACTAAACTGAATGGAGGGAGAAAGAAGGATCAGTCAGGCAGATGCTACCACATAGCTGCCAAAGGAGAAAGACGTCAGAACCTTATCGGTAAGCCACAGTCTTGTGACAGTACACAGATTTATAGAAATATGTTAATTTAAGATGCAAGAGCTAGCTAGAAATATGCCTGAGCTATTGGCCAAATGGTGTTGTAATTAATAAAGTTTCTATGTGATTATTCAGGTCTGGGCAGTCAGGAAACCAAAATAGAGACTCTGTTTACAGAACTGAGTTCTTTTGAAGAAAACTAGATGAACCCCAAGACTTAAGTGAGCACCTGTGTTGGATTAGAACCATGTTCCTGAACTGAAAATGTAGAAGGCATGTCCCTAGCTATAATCTTCTGGGCATTTTTCATTTTATGATTCGGACCTTGGAGCCAAAATGAGCTAGGGACATACAGTAATTTGGTTTAGGGAAAGCCGAGGGTTAGTTAAAATTGCCCGGTCGATAATGGTACTTGCTGCCAAGCCTGATTATCTGAGTTTGGTCCCCAGGACCTACATGATGGAAGGAAAGAATCAAGTGTCACATGCTACTGTCTGACCTCTACTCCCAACATCTGTATTCCACCCTCAAACACAGATAGGCATATTTAATAAAAACATTTTTTAAAGAAAACTGAGAAAGGAATTATTCCTGCATTTATTGTTGTCAGCCCAGACTTATTCAAATAAACCCAAAATCATAGGACCACACAGTTTTTTGTTTGTTTGTTTTTTAAAGAAGCACAGAAACCAAGAATGGCAAATCCCTGTGCCAAAAAGATCATTGGTCACCTAGTTTTTTTTTGTTTTGTTTTGTTTGTTTTTGTTTCATTTTGTTTGGCCTGAATATCTGTTTAGGGCCTTTCACTGCTTCATTGCACCGTCTTTCCAAGTGGAATAAAACAAACAAAAACCTTTCAGATTAGTCAGGTTTCCCTCACTAATCCCAGCATTAGCCACTGAGCCATCAAAGGGCCTAGAGAAAGCAAAGACCCTGCCATTTGTTAGTGGTTAAGATGGGGGATTTTATGGATGTGCTTCAACTGAGTGGCTACTCAATGGCTGTCTTATTGACACTGGGAAGCTGGGAGTTTCCAGGCCAGGGTACGCACTAAGCCTGATTTGCCTGTATGTGTTTTGATTAGGTACAAGCCAAACGCTTGTATTTATGTGTTTATTTATTTAAGGAATGAGGGATTTCAGCACAGGCCTCGGTCCAGGGGAATTCATGGTTCAATAAAGACTAACAGCCCAAACAGTAGACTAGGCTTTCCCGCAGCTGGTTTCTTTATCAAAGGTAAGCAGGCCTCTATGAAAAGACTTCAAATGGATTGCCGGTCCTTTTTTTTCCTGAACTTCTTCGTGGAGCTAACAGAAGCTGCTGTGCCTTTAGGAACTTCAGGTAAACAGGAGTGTTGGAGACAGACAGGGGCTCCATTGGCTCTACCTTCAAAGACGACCCGGGCTGCTCAGACTTCCATCCCTAACACTGGCCTGCGGTTTAAATAGTCTCACTTGTTTCTGTGTGTGGTTAGATGTATGGGTGACGCAATAAGTCAGAGCTAGGCAGTGGATCCCAGCAAAGACACCTGTGTGTTCTTCAATAGTTGTGTATGTGTCCTGTGGTTATTCCAATAAACAAACCATAATCTAGATCATAAAATGCCTCTTGCTTAGATATTTCTATAAAGCTATAATTGGCTGGTTCAAGGGAGTGTGTGTGTGTGTGTGTGTGTATGTGTGTGTGTGTGTGTATGTGTGTGTGTGTGTGTGCGTGCGCACGTGCACATGCATGTGTCTGCATTTAGGTGTGTGACACTGTGGAGACCCAAACCCTGTTCCCTTCTTCTTCATTAGGTCTATAGGAAAAGGGTCAAGATCACCCTTAGTTTGTGGTGGTAGCCAGTGTTCCGTAGGCTACGTGGAAACAGTAGTTACAGAAGGCCATCCAGCCAGCTGTGTGCTCTGTTGCATGCTCCTGTGTGACAGAAGTGTGCCCCGCACTTCCCCTGGTGGATACCAAGTTCACCTTGGATGGCCATTACCCCAGTTTTGCCAAGTCGTTTATCTCCTTGCTTTCAGTAAAACTATGAAGAAGCAATCATTGCTGCTCTGAGCTTTGGAAATGGACCAAGGGATGTGTTTCTCTGTTTTCCCGGTGACTAGTCCTGCCTTCTCACCCCTAACCTAAATAAACACTGACAGAGTCAGCCAAAGTGTGGAGTTTCTCGGGATCTGAATTTCTCCCCAGGGAAGGAATAACTCTCTTCATGCATGTGTGGTACAAACTGCGAGCCCTGCCAGAAGACAGCAATTTTCGGGGAAAGTTGAACACTCTCAAAATTTCAAAGGCCCTTCCATCTCTGCTAATAAGCATTTTATGTAAAAATAAAAAAAACACTTTTAAAGGGACATTTAAGAAGATCCACTTAATACTCAACCAAAGAACTGTCATATTAAGCCAGGTGACCTTTGGCCTCAACAGTAGAAGAACTGGAGTTGCCGTCTCTTGGCTGACAGCAGACCCTGGCAGGATCCTTGCTTCAACATGTGGTCCTCCATCCTGTTTAATAATGCACTATAGCCTCTGGCGTTCAGAACTGATAGCGCAATGTAACTGAGCTCCAAGGTCCTCTACAGAACAAATTCTGCTTCTAATGGTTTGCTCAACTGCAAACCTTACTAGTGGCGGGAAACTGCGTCAGGTCAAACTATTATCA